GAAGTAGAGTAGATGTGTGACAATGGGAGAGACACAAATTAGTGACCAGAAAAAAACATCATTATCAGCAGCTATACTTTAAACGAATTATCTTCATGAATTTAGCAACTAAATTATAATCCTACACTCATTTCTGATTAGCTTCGATGATATTAACACTCGGGAATCTATTAATTTGTAGGAATTTCATTATTACATATGAAAAAAACACACGAAACAATCATTGATGGCATTAAACAATCGTTATGTTAAATATAGTAAGTCAATTAAATATGGAAATGTTTACCATTGAATTTTAAATTTCAACAGTCTGAAAGTAGGGAGTTCATCGCAATTCTAGACGATCTCAAAAGTTATTGATTACCGAGGTGTTTCATACATTAAGACGAAGCCAACTCAGTTTCCCAAACCCCTTCAATAATAAATATCAGTAGAAGTTTTAACAAGATGTTCGTTAGTTAACAGTGTCATGAAATGAAAATGTAAATGTGAACCAAGACAATAAAGTATCATGGCCAGAAAGGACATTGGGATAGTTGAGTTTCGGAAACGTTGGAGGTTAAGCGTTCGCCCACAAGATCGAAGGTCATAGGTTCGAGTCCTACGTGCGAGATCGTGGGTGTGCACTGTTGAGGAGTCCCATAGTAGAACGAAACAGCCGTTAAGTGCTTACAGGTTTTCAATGGTGGTCTAGCTTAGATCGATTCATTAATTCAACTTTGAAAATAAACCATTTTTGTTAAAAATAATGAAATGACTAACTAAACAGTACATGAGTAAACCACAAATGGAGTGGTGGAAAACTTAGCAGCAGAATGAAAAAAGGTAGAATTCACCTGAGAATGGTTTTAAATATAAAATGCTGAACAGTGAAAAGGCGATACGCTACAAATTCATGTTTATATTTACTACTATGTAAATAATCGACTTTTATGCAAGCTGTTAAATGAGATCTAAGAATAGTAGTTTGGGATTAAAACTAACAAACAGTGAATGATTATTAATTGCAATACACGGTAAAACCATAATATATCGACGGTCTTGAGAGACCAATCAAGTTAAAACGCTGTTGAGGACAGCTTTTTGCTGAAACTCATAACTTTTATCATATTTCGTATTTAGAAACAATTGGATGGTAGTTTTCTTTTGCGATGAACTTTTAAGGTTAGTATGCTAGGGTTAGGAGTGTTACAGGAAATAACAGTTAGGATTTAAAAGTTTAAGGATGAAGATCGCAGTTTAAAGAGCTATGGTTAAGGAGTTTAAGAGTTAGGATTTAGATCTTACAAAATATAAGGTCTAGATTGATTAAAGTATGGTCTACAGCCTAAATTATCGATATTGAACAATAATAAGTCCATTAATGATATTAAAACCTCTGATCCTCTGTAATCTTATCATTTTTCTGTATTTTTCAGCTAACTCCGCCTGTAGCTCTTCTAGAGTTACTGCCGGTCCCAAGCCCAAGTAAAAGAGGAGGGTCGGGCATCGGGTTAGCAACCCCACCCCGTAGAAAACTAACTCATTAAAAGATGCTAACCAGAAAAAAATAATTCAAACCATTTAAACTCTGCCCTGCAATTTAGGTCTTCATTTAGAAGAATTATGACGCCTTATGCTGAAAGTCCAGTTCCTTCGGAAGCCCCTTCTTTCTAATAACCAGAGCAACAATTTTTTTATAGTAAGTAATAATTTACAGTTTTTACACGAAAGCTGCATTCTGATTAGTTATTTTTTAGTAATTAATCTCTATGTCATTCTTAAATATTCGCTTAAAGTAATCGGTATAGTATAGTTTTACCTAACACACTTATCATTTTCAGTAATCAACAAAGTTAAATGACAACAAATTAAATCATAAAATATTTAATTAGTTTCTAATGTAAAATATTTTAAACTGTTGTAAAAACAAAAAAAATTACAGTATGACAACCGATTAAAGATAATTTCTTATTATAATCTAATAAACTGTCTATATAGAAAATTGGCAATTTGATTAATTGATCATATTTTCTCAAGTCAGTCAGCAACAATATAAAACTTCGTACCTACGTACATCAGTTCGAGTTGCCATACACAGGTGCAATTGTCGATTCAATTCTCGTGTTACTCCATACCCGCCTACCTACCTACATACATACCCTTTTAATTCGTATTTTCTAGAAACAAAAAAATTTTCAAACCTTTATTTTCCTTATAATTATTGATGCGACTACATTAATTTAAATGTTTTAACCATTTCTCTTGTGAAATTTCATCTTACTGTGTTATTTATAATGGTATGACTATTAGGGACAAAATACATACATGTATATATATGTTTTATGGGACTTTAAGTTGATTTTATGATTGACTGAATCCAAAGATCAATTCATGTGTCTGACCTTTAAATAACAAAGACTGAACAATGATCAATATGTGGTTTACTCATTTTTGTGTTAACTCCAATTCATGACATTAAATAAAAAATGAAAAAGGCAAACAACCATAGTGAAGATCACTTAAAGTTATTAATCCCGATAACAGATCTGACTCGATTAGTGTTTTTCGAGTAGAGAGCGTTGATGGGCCATAAAATCTTTCGATCTACGGAGTCGAACACTGCCTTATGGCTAAGAAATACAACTGGAGTCGGTAGGTATGTCTGTGTTTTAGAACTTGGCGACGTGCGAATATTTGATCTACATACCTACATTCAGATCTGAAACTAACCTGATTTTCTCGGGATTCCTCTTCATCAGCGTTAGAATGTTACAGAAGCTAATATTTTGGATACTATCGTTTTCAGAGATATTCTCACTAAATCTCGGATATTTAATACCTGTTTCTTTGATAATTATGAAAAGTTAGTCACTGCTGCTTATCTCTATGGCCGCCGCCTTCTACCTCAGCTGCCTATCACTGATCATCATCACCGTTTAGACATTTTGTCAGTCTAAGTCTAAATCGCCTTCGCTGATGATGTTCCGAGCCTGACAAGGTGGGTTTTCGAGCCTTTATCAGTTCGGTAGACGCTGTTGAAATCCGCAGATTTGTCTTAACCTTTTGGTTATAGTCACATGCAGATATAACGGTGGTTTTTATGTCATATGGACAACATGCCAACCCACATTGGGGTTTACTCTGAAGAAGTTCGATCCGTACTAATTTATAGGTGTGAAATATGGTCTTCAAAAATAAAGGATATACTTAGTGTACTAGTACTTGATCATAGGTGTCCTGGAACTACTGCGCGTATATTTTGAGAACACTGAGTTAGCAAACCTGAAGTTAGATGCCTAGTACTAGATATGGTGTGGCGCATATATATTGGCGCTCTCTTGTACCAATATTCATGTGTCCAAATAAATAAAGTACTAGATATGGAAAACGCATTGACGACGTGGTGAATCGTTGTCGACTAAGATGGTTGGAATATATATATATATATATTACGTATGTACATCTATTGACAACAGATGCGCGCGAGATTAGTGGTGTAAGAGTTGAGTAGGCTGGAACAAATATAGGGGTGACTAAACCAAAACGTGACATCAGTCCATAAATATATTAACTATTCGACTGAATTACGTAGGTAGATGCAAACTACCTGGTTCGAGTTTGAGTGATTCTAGTAACCAATGGTTACAAACTGGGTGACGAATTAAAAACGTTCACAATAGCGCGGGCACATTTACTTTTTGTCTGCTCTTAGATCCTAAAGTTTCTAAAATTTCCATACATTTAGTAATTTAACTAATTCCTACTTTTTGCTCGAATTATCTCTTAGATGTTTGATCTCTTTTATTACCACCAATAGTGTTAGTACTTGTACTACTCTAGGATTTGCCCTGACTATTTTATCTCTTCATGCTAATGATAGGATGATAGAAACTTGAAGTGATATACATAAGTGTTACGGTGTTCTAAGTTGCATTTGACTGACTTACTGACTGATTTTCAAATTACATAATTCTCAATAGCATGATGATGAAAGGTGGCGGCATTATTTGGGGGAAAAGAGAGAAATAAGGGGATAACATTTAAAAAAAATCAAACTCAGACGATAGAAAGAGATGAAAAAGTTGACTTGAGTAAGTTCCAATGTGGAGTCGATTAAGAACAATGCCAACTATGAACTCTAACATTAACTAATGTCATACTATTACTGTTGTTTAATTCATTGCTCTAATTAAAATACTATGTTTTATTTTCATACTATCTACAATCATACGAATACCTTTCACTTAAAACTTATCGATGGAATCCAAGGTTGAGTTGGTTAACGTCAGCGTTTTCAATATTCAGTGAATGTGTGTTGCAACTTAAAATTTCGGTCGACTTTCTGTTAATTTAGTTATAAGTTAATACATAATAAAGTGTAATTTTCATTGTAGATTTCATTATAAGTTCCCTAAACGTCACCATATTTGTGTTTTTTATTCGTGAATTTTTGTGAGTGCGTCTCGCTGATATGTTCATACAGATAACTCTCAGACTTTTGAAATGCATTGTTTAGCAAACCTCACACTCAAAAATCCCGGATTAATTTTTACTAAATGGTCTGAAAATGTGCAGTCGTGAGGCATCCATACCTGCAATCTTGAGGGATCAGATGCTCGAAACAGGATTCGAGCCCGTGTTGCACAACTTTACACGGTGTGCAACGTTACCACAGTGCAACTTAGTCGACAGAATTCAGTGAACACTGAAGGACTAGGCCAAAAATAACACAGGAGACCACTACTCGATGATCAGTCAATTGTAAATAAGTTAGTTTTAGAGAAGATCAATTGCAGGATGGATAGCTCAGTAGTTACGTCTCGGACTATGAGACTAGGTAACGCGTGCTCAAATCCCATGATCAACATCAGTTTCTTCAAGATTACAGTTACATATTGGTGGCACAAAACCTCAATTAGGCAGGGTTTCCTGTCGACTACCTCCAACCATCTGTGGTGTAGGCTACTTATGTCGACAGATATAAGTAATACGTAGCACCGACCGGAAGTGAAATGCCTGCCAGCAGAAGATTGAATTGAAGAGAACAGAAAGGGAAGTATTTACAGAACAACTGAAGAGAGATGTGCAAATAATGCATTTAATGTATGATTTTGTGAAAGCACCGTGTGCATTAAATGATAATAAATCGGTTTCCCTTCCTCGCACATGAGTTTTAATACACACCAGATTACATTTTAACATAATGCACACAATATTAAGTCATTTAGACTACTAGCCACATTGTAACTTAATCGTTAGAATTTGACTGGCAGTATTAGGTAGGAATTAACATATATGACACTGGTCACTACTCAGTGAACAATCAGTTCTAAACTCTTTTCTTCTCGTCATGTTTGTCTACACTACACAACACTAATCAGTCAGTAGCAAAGTAAAATCTGGTACGTTCGTACATCGATTCAAGTTTCTATAGCCCGTTGGCATAGAGAGATGAAATTTTTAGGCCAAATCCTAGAAGATTAAAGGTAGTACCAGTATCAGTAATGGTTGAAAAGATTAGGCATCGAATATGCGATCCGAGAAAACATAAATTAATGAAATAAAAACATGAAAAAAGTTATTGAGGAATTCAGAAGCTCAGAATTCGAGGGAAGACAAAGAACGGATGCACCTGAACTATTGCAAACGATTTTGAGCCACATAATTCAAAGTCTCTAACCACTGATTACGATATTCACGCAGACGCCAACCAAGTATTCTACACCTAATACAACAGTTCCCAGTCTAAATGTCAATGACTTCATGAACTGATTACTAACCAGAAAGAATAATATGAAACTCTAGAAAAATAGATTAATGTATTTAAGAGATGCATAGAAAAAGAAGTTCAAAGTTAAAACTTTATTACTCTATACAATATTGATATATGTAAGCTATTTTATGTATACATTTCAGAAATGAGATAACATACTACTATTGTCATAATCATTAATGCATAAGTTTGTATGTGTATTTGAATATCACAATAGAGAAAGCACAATTAAATGAAACATAACACACTGATTCACATGTATCATTGTACATATAAATAAAAGGGGTATTCATTATGATTATCATTAAGTTATTATATCATATAAAGTAGCTCAGTTTTACAACGAAAATACACACAGCCATACATACTGTATGATGTATGATTCATACGTGGAAGACCCCTATTTTCACCAAGATAATAGTTACAAACTAAGGCGGTGAATTAATGAGAAAGATAACTGTTGGGGTATAAGTCACATATGATAGGTTCTATGAAAAGACAGAGATCGAGAGTCAGCAAAATAGTACATATCATTACAGTATAATCAATTTGATTCGTAATGGTTTGGTTTGTTACATTGTTGATATTTTGACCAATATCTATATAGCCTACATTTCCATAGCTAATGCCATTTTTAGTGTACGGGTATTTATGCAGATGTTGAATTCCATAGTTTACATGACGAACTGATTTCAGTCAGTCAGTCACCTACAACGTAGGACCAGGCACATATATTTATCGGTCCAAGTTGCCACACCTCATTAGCATAGACAAGATGAACACCAAATTCATAAAAGTAGTCACTCCAATAATAGTAATATGTAAAAGGAAAGATTGCATATAAGGACATAGTACAGGAAGAAAGAATTTGTTCGTAGAAAGAAAGGAATGAAGTAATTTTAATTTCATGGTTTAAGGGAAGACAAAGAGTGTATACACCGACGCCATCGTGACCCATTCTGAGCCATGTCATCCACAGTCTCCAACCATTGGTTATGATAGTCACGCTGACCCCAACCAAGTAGTCTGCATATACCAACATGGCTCAGACCAGAAGTCAGTGACTTCAAGCGCTGATGCAACGTTTTGGTTTGGCCAATTCTATCTTTCTTCCAATCGTCTCTAACTCCAGTCAACGTTGGGCGCAGTGGTAATCGGTGGTTGAGAATGCGTAATACGTGACACAACCATCTCAGTCGATGAAGATTCACAACCTCATGATCTGATCTTAGTTAAATAACCACTGAAAACCAGGAACCTCTTGACAGCTGTTTTATCTGATGGTATTGCAAGACTAAACATAAGTGTGCATCCACGATCACACTAGAGATTAAATTTAGAACATTTTAGGTCTCTCAGACAGCACTTAACCTTTGAAGTATTGAATCGGAATAGAAATGTTTACAGTTATACTACTATTTCAATAATTACTGAATTATTCAACCGCTGTTCATGAAAATATTACAATCTAATTTTATGTGTACATGTATTTAACAAGTACAAGTTTGTGAACACAGATGACCAATTCAAACTGTTCGTTTAAATGACAGTGAGCAATACACTATGGATTTTCACACGGAAGTATATGGAGAGAGGAATTCGAAGCAACAACTAATTAGCTGAAAGTTAAGTAATTTGACACTCAAGTCACAGGGTTACCAATCTCATGTAATATAAACTAGTGACTCAGTAGTAAGTTATTATTAAAATCCAGTCGTTTGTATGACTGTACTATCTATGATCCGTAAAATGACGTTAGTGGTTTAAATATACTATCAAATGGGATCAGTGGACTGATTAATAATTATACCGAATTGAAGAAAAAAACGTGCATAGGAAACGGTGAATGCATCAAAGGGGTTCTGTGTCATTCGTTAAACCATAGTGAGTAAACACTATAAGAAAACAGAATGGAATGATGATGAGTAGCTCGTTGAAAATATTCTTAACAAAGTAAGGAGGGAAACGATATATTTTACTAAAGTCCATTTCAACCTAGTGTTACATAAGAGCTGTACTACAAACACAATTACCTTCCTCAATATTTGGTGATCATATAGATGTATATTTCAATAAAATGATATTACTCAATATCTTCACTAAGTGGTTGGCTTAGTGGTGAGGTTTAACACTCGAATCCCAATTTAATCTACTTTTGTTTAGGTAATGTCATCGACTAACCCCCACACAAATTTATGGTCTAAACTTGATTTCTGTTACAATTCCTCTTAGTACGACCCAGCTATTGACATTGCTCAGTATTCTTGGGCACCAATTCACTCGACAAGTCCCCAAATTAGAACACGGTTGAAAAGGGACGAAATTATATTCCAAATAACAAGGGTAGATGGAAGTAGGGATTACGGTAAGAAAAATGTTGGTATATTTATAGTTTTTACACGAGAGGATCCTAGAGTCTTCTCCAAGTATCCACTAGCGCGGATTGGTTATGAAATAACTAACCGGCGTGCCCGAACATAACCCTGGACGGAACATGCCTTTATTCAATCTATATTCCGTCAATAATATCATAGACTTATACTTGATGTCCATCATAAAAGGATGTTTGAACAAACAATTTAATGATGAAATTCTGTAGTGAGTTGAAGGCAATGTCCGTGGAGATGTCAGAAGATAGTTAACGTGTGAACTAATGAAAAAAAAATGTTGTCAGTATGGGGATTTGTAGAGATTGTGGTATTTCCACAGTTTAAATCATGAGTCAATCTAAGCTAGACCATCATTAAAAACCTGGAAGTACTGGATGGCTATTTCGTCCTAGTATGTGCACTTATGAGGAATCCCATACTAGAACGAAACGGCCGTCCAGTGATTTCAGGTTTTTAATAATGGTCTAGCTTAGGTTGACTCATGATTTCAACTATGAAAAAACGTTTTTATGATTTAAAACACTTTAGCATTTTAGAAAGACCAGTGAAAAAGACACCAAAATTGAAAATACGGGACTATAAATTTTTTAGCGAAAGATAAACAAATAAAATGTATTGCAAAATGATGCAAACAAAAAGGTCCTCAGTTTAGCTTATTTTAACAACAATTTAAATTAACACACACATAATTACAAAAGGCAGTAAATACACACACATGCGCGAGCACACAAAAATACACACAATACCTGCATATTCATCTAATTCCCCGTCATCTTCACTTTCGAAACGTACACTGCCATCATTTAAAGAATAACGACTCGTTGCAATTCTTGGTTCCTCTCTACACAAAACAAAACAAAACAGAGAATTCAATAAATTCTGAGAGTATCAAAATGTTAAAATAACTACAATAAAGATGATCGATACTTAAATGCTTGTCGAACTTTCAAAGAGATTAACATATAAAGCAAAGTTTGACCATGATAACAACTCATAATATGGTAAGTATTTGAGAGCTTAATGAATGCGAAAAAAAGCAACAACAAACAAACAGATCATTTCCACCATATATTGAACTTTGTTATATTCAATGTTCACTTCTCCTTGCTTTTTTAACGAATGTCAGTTCACTATGGAACCTAGTGACTTACTTTGGGAAGTATTCTAAAGGTTATATTGAAAAGCTGAGATCATTTGAGTCTAATAAATGTTAGGTGTGAGACAAATGTATCACAAGTGACACTGGTTGATAATCGTATAATATCAGGAATCGGTTGAGGTCAGAAATAGGGACCGTTACACACCGACTTAGAGGTCTACGTAAAATACGCTAATCATGAGGGATGAAAATTCTCAGTTTGATCTCTGATAGGATCATTGATGTTCATGAATGATGGGCTCCAAACTGGGACGAAACATACTTGTTTAGTGTTCTTTGGCTTTCGAAATGTTTAAATAACGAAAACTAACCTGTCAAAGAAATTATATTTAGATGTTTAGATAACCTAAGTTAATATCTTATAGTCGATCAAAATATCTGTTCACTCTTTGATTTTCAATTTATCAACTAGATAGATTAATACACTTTGATAATGATATATAAATGAGACAAAGAAAATATTATTCACGTAAGCAGATGGAAATGGATAGAAAAAGTAACGGTTCACGAAATATCTTTAAACAGAATGAAAAGATTATCAGATAACGTAGACACCAGTCAGTCACCATCAACGTAGTTCATAGTAAGGTTATACCTTAGGTATAATATTAACTTGTGAATCGGAGAATGCGATAATACATTAACATTAAGTCGATTTATTTTAGAACAGATGAATGATTAACAGTGGAATCCAGGATGCGTATTCCATTCTATTCGAACCCCATCAGCTGGATATACCTGTGTCGATGTTTACATTAAAACTAGAAACAAGTACCTTTCACCTCAAACACTAACAATTTGTCCACTAAGCAAAGTAAATTGTAAACTTTAGAGAGTTTCCTTCTCTATATAAGATAAAGTAATCAGGCAAATATACCTTGTATTCAGAATTATATAATATAGCAAGCCGATACAAATATAATTCAGGCTATTGATTTAGCTATTACTATCAAGTCCGCACAAAAATGCTCTACGTAGATAGGTGTTTTCAACAAACGAGGAAGTGATAACCGATCACCAGTTTACCCTATCGATTAAGAACAATTATATTTACACACGGTAGCTAGGTGCACATAAATTCCAATGTTTACAACTGATCGATCCCTGAGCAATGTCTAATGTCATGTATGTTAAACCCCTTAGTGAAGATAGAATTTGATGCATCAAGTTGTAATGTGGCCACTACTCGAAACGATCCGACATTTCGTGCACTAAGTTGAATCGTAAGATGTTAGTTGGAGCTAGTTGACAGTAAACTTTGTCTGACCTAGGTTACGTGCTATTTAGCACTTGATAACTTGTCACTCAGATTCACAGCCTAAGACGTTACCACTGAGCTATAGAGGCTGAGATTTACTTCCTCTAGGACTGAGATGTATTTTCAATGTCATGTATGTCCAGAGTTCAGGTACAGATCTTGTCGTCCACTACCTTTAACTATAGGCTTTAAAAGTACTTCTTTTCAAATGACATTATCAATCAATTACCACAGGTTATAACTGTTAAATAAACGAACTCATGTGACTTGAGCAGATCACAGATTCGAATCCAGTGATAACGTGTGGTTGTTTTTTTCTTCATATATAAACTCAATCACCTTAATATAGAATACTCTTGATGTCAACCCATAAACACACACACACACACACAAAGAAATGTCAAAATGCCAAAACAGATTAAATCCAAGAGAAAACACACACATATAAAGTAAATTAAGTGACCGCCTTATATATACATATATAGTTCACCTTTATTTAAAGTCAAGGACAATGTACAGCAATCAAACATACAAACAAAATAACATTCCAAAGTTTAAAAACCTTTATTATTATTATTATTATTATTATTATTATTATTATTATTATTAATTTATTAATTCTTGGCATCAAAATTAATCATAACAAATTAATGACAAAATAGTGTATTATTAGCAATAAAAATGAATCTAATAACAAATAATTGTTTTTTTAGAAAATAAAACCCGTTTAATTTGTCCATTTCATATATACCATGATCTGTTTCTCATCATATGACTCTATATAAGGTTGACGTTTATTATTTTTAAAAAAACAAAACAAAACACCTAGCCATTTTTTGCCCAATGTAAATTTCTACACTTGGCTTCAGGCCATCATTTTTAATGTGAAGTTCGTCAATGATACCAAATCGATTGCTTAAACCAAAGAGTAGGCAAAATGTAGTTCAAATATTATGGAGTCAAGGGATGGGGGGGGGAAATGTCAAACACTTTTGAATCATTGGATATTATTATTATTATTATACCAAAATTTATTTTTATTCAATCATAAGACAATATAAACATTTTTTCACAGATAATTAATTGAAATGATTGTGGGATGTTAAGGCTTATTGGTCAAGAGTTCAGTGTTTAACCATCTTACATTCTAAATCCTGTACACCATGCATCAAAATCTACATTAATTTATTGAAGTCATTATAACTGGTCAATGTTAAATAAACATTGAAAATCTGGAAGCACTGGACAGCCGTTTCATTCAAGTGTGGGACTCTCCAGCAGTATGAATCCACGAGTTCGCATACGGGAATCGAACCCAGGACCTTCGGTATTCTATATGAGTGCTCAAAATCTTGATTCCTGCGTGCAGGGTAATGGATGTATATTACCGCTGATGACTCATATACCAGGATGAATCGGCCGTCCAGTGAATTCAGGTTTTCAATGATTATCTAACATTGATCGGTTCATTATTTCGATGAAACTTAACAATACCTAGAACTATATATTTACAATATATTAATTTAGATAACCACAGATAGTACCAATAATAACCTAAAGTATGGCTCTAATTCGAGTATACACATACATTTACTTGATAAACTGACTAGAATCGTTTAAAATAATTTATCAGGCTATCATAGATGTGCACAATAGTGATTAATCTTCATAAATGATTCCCGAAGTTCTAGTGATAAACTGCTACCAGTGAAGTTCAACCATGTTGAATGTGAGCCAGTTACTTACGAATCAAAATGCAAGGTGATTGTACAGTATCATGTGATAAAATCATCTCATATCAATTAAAGGTCAATATCACATGTAAAAAGGATAAATATAGAAAGAAATAGATAGATGAAAATGACTGACAGTATGTCATTACTTTTCAATGAGACTGGTACTATGAATGCTTTAAATAGTAGATTATCAAAGTATAACTAACTATCCTCGTTTATAAGAAGTATTAGAATGAGCTGTAGGTAAAATAATACATGTTGAATAGAAAAAAAAGAATGTAAAAAACGTTCTAGTGATATTGATGACTTTAGTAGTCAATAACGAATAGTTGCTATTCTATGGTTAGTTAAACAACCACTGAAAACGATTAAGACATGGACAGATATATCATCTTAATGTGGGACTTTTGAGAAGAGATTACCGTAATTCATTCACTTCAGATATGAAGCAGTGACCCACCGTTGACATTGGAAGGTTGCGCAATATCTTCAACTGATTGAACTTGAAAATTTAAGGTTCTAAATTCTGACCCAGTACTCTAATGGTTAAGTTTCACGCTCAAGACATATAGGTTCAGAATTCGATCCCTGTCCAGTCAATGGTCTGCTGGGGATTCATATACTCAGGCGAAACAGCTGTTCCGTGCTTCCAAGTTATGTGCTGTAAACTATAAAATATCTTGGTTGACCTAATTTGAAAGGCCTATGTACAAATGTAGGTAAAGAGAGAGATAAATGAATGAACTTCAAGGGAATCTCGGATGACGTAGAATGATTTGAAAGATTAACATAGAATTCTGCAAACCATAACTGTCTCACAGTTACTAATTTAATTCTATGGATTGCGGCTAAAAGTTTAAACTAAATAGCTGCTGACAGCATACACAGGTAAGTGCCAATAGGATTGAGGTAAATTCAATTAGAAGCCTGATTGTGTGGGGTTAGAAACTTTTCCGATGGATGCTAGCTAGTTTATGATACAGTAAAAGAGAAGATTACGTTATACAAACTGATTATAAATAATGAAGGGAACCGAATAAATAGTTAGTAATATTCGACTAAACACATTAAGTATGGATGAAATTTTGATAAAAATAGTGTAATTTGTTTGTACCAATTATGAGCCAGTGAAATGATAGCTTGTCTATGAACGAGGTTCGATCAAAATAATGCATGTATCTTTCGCCAAAAACTCATTTATATTGAATAATATTCACTTAAAACCATAATATTTGTCCATTAGACCTAATGATAATAAACTGGCTGAAGAAAAGCGAAGTAGGCGAAGTGGAGTTCTAAACCAGGAATTTTATTGATTAGAAGCCAAACGCTCTAACTGTTAGAAGGCCGTAAACACTTCTCTTCATGTTATTCAACTGAGCACAAGTGTGCACGTATACATGCACACACACACACACACGCATACATGCACACACACACACGCATACACATAACCCATTTATCCAACTTATCCACAGCAGCATGAACGAATGAGTCAGTATGTGCGTGCCAAATGAATTCTACCCTAGTAACTAACACACAATTAAGTTATATTAATTTGATCGCCAAAATAAATAACAACTTGAACATAAATCCGATTAAGCAAATATTGGTACCGATTGATTGATTACACACATTTTCAGGACTAGAAATATTCAATCCAAAAATACATAACATCTAATTGCTATCACTATTCGTGCACAATAGTGTGTGTATATGTGTGTGTAATGTTTATTTACATTGCTCCAATTTAAGAGGAACAATGTAAGACAGGATTCATATTACAACAACAACAACAACAACAGTGGACAAATGAATGAACATAAAAAGAGAGAAAGAAATGTGAACAATATCTGTTATTATGGTTCCATATAGAAACACTGCAGTTGGTGTCATTGGATTATGACTCAGAATTATAGTGCTTTACATTTAGGTACACCCAGATATCATACTGTAACAATAATCGTGAAATTTGTATTTGCTCAAGTCTAGAAACATGAAGTAGTTATAATAATTAAAATAACTTTATACATGTGCGGTTTGTCTGTATATATATGTGTGCGTAGTTAATGATGACAATCAATGGAAATGGTGAGAAGTATGCAGTCACCACCTCTAAACTATGTGAAGAGAGAGTGAATGAATACCTCACTCTAGATTTTGAAATACAACAACTAAGAATGTTTCTCTATATGGACTTGGTTATTTGTGAGTTTGATGATAATGTTCTCGCGTGCAGAAACAACTATTAGGGTTGATTCAACAATACAACTCATTGAAAAAAGTAAATGAGTACAACATAACAGTAAATAAACAACGCAAATTGTGCATAAACATATAAAATAAACACAACTACTAAACCATGAGATAATTATGATGAGAAATGTAGTGCGAGTGAGTAACTATGTCGATCTCCAAATACACAATGCTTTATGAGTCATAAACATGTGGTAGTATTGTGAAAAACTACACACTGTTCAGCATAGTTACGCGTTCCAGTCAAATCATGAACTGATCTAAGTTAGACTACCGTTAAAAACCTAAAAGCACTGGACGGCAGTATAGAATTCCTCAGTGGTAGTGCACATCCACAATCCCACACGGAGGAATCGAAACCAGGCTACAGAAGAAATGGCAGATTCAGAATCGAAAAATTTATCATTATACTTCTGGTTGGGGACTACTTTAACATCAGTCTCAAGTTATAGTAAGTATTTTTTTAAAAGTTCGTCTCAGCCAGTTAATAAGTGCTCTCATGTTGACTGAGTTGGCAAGTATTTACCTAATTACTTAGTACTCATAAAATTTAGCACACCTGGACAACAAAATATGTACGTAATACACAAATAGGAAGTTATTATTAAGAAATAGAAGACGGAATGTAAGTACAACCAAAAAATAAGTGAACAAGAATAGTATATAATATGTAATACAGTTCAGTTGACAAAACAATCAAGAGAAACTTCCTTCAGTTAAATGAATTCCTCTCCTTTTCAGAAAATGTTAAACGAAACTATACGACGATCACCATTGGCTTTTGTTTTAAGCTATGTATGATAGGATTTCAAGACAATGAGTTGCAATATCTATCTCTAGGACCTCAGTGGGACAGTTATAATGGGCCTATAGATGCCAGCTCAAGACGGCTTTCATCTTTAACACGAAGCCCCGTCCTATTTTCAGAGCTTGGAATCCAAACACTACAAAACTTGTGAAAAACATGTCTAAGCCATCAAAAACCAGTGTTTCAAAACAGTAACGCTAATTGAATTGTCGACACTGTGCTCGAACGCACATTGAGAAAAGCAGTACAAACATAGTATTGCCATTGGATGTCAGAAAAAATTCGGAAACACATAGATTCATAAGTATACTATGACATCCCCAAAATGACATCAGGGAAAAAAGGACAATTTAAAGTAACATATTTTGAGCAGATAACGGAGCAAACTCGACTGGTTACAATCAATCAAATCTCATCTTGATAAAATAAGCTGTTACTTACTACTTGTGGAGAAATTCTATAATAACTCATTTTACTTCATTAAAGTTCTTTATACTGATAATTTTGTCTACAAAGACAAATTAAGGTGCTTGATGATCCAAATCACATTATCAGTGTCAAGAAAACTTGTTAATTTAAAAGAAAAATTTTGTCAGCGGCGTTGATACGATGTGGTAAACGCTCAACAGATTACTGTTGACGATTTGCAGTTGGAAAACAGTTTACATTTTAATTAGTAAAAAAAAGAGGGAAGGAGGACACTTACTGTCTTTGAAATGTCTGAAATGTTTCTTTTTCTTTCAGTTCTTCTATTGGATCATTTCCATGTGCACGTTCCTTATCATATACCATGTAAGTTTCACCACGATCACGTGTACACAACCATATACTTGATGCAATCACAACTATAAAAATAATTACACCGATAATCACAGCTGCAATCCATGCGAGACCAGCAGTTGCTAGAAAGAGAAGAACAAAAAAAAACCGGAAGATTGAAGAAAAGATCAATTGGACACATTCAAATAATAAGTAGGAGTTAATAAAAGAAAAACCAATTAATTGGTCACTTAGTACTGACCAGTATTATGTTTGTCTAGTTCTTCTTGCTACTGATTGATCAAGGTTTACTGATCTAGTTGTAAAGTAATAGAAGTAACTTGACAACACATGTACTATGTTGAGATGCTAAGCTGTTGGATGATCCGGGTTCTGATTTCATGGGCAGTGTCAGTTCTCTCGAGATTCCATGTATGCTTTATTGGCAAATGCCAACTAGCATGAAATTAAGGTTTATAGGTTTTTCTACCAACTACTTCCAAGTACCGAATGGAAAGAAAAACCAAGCAAACATAAAAGGATTATATATACATTTCATGTTACGAAAATATTAGTAGCAATTGACCAAATTATTACATTCTTATGTAATAGTATGTCACTAATAGACAGAAATTGTTTAAAATGAACACAATAGGAAAAAAAACAACTTTTCTAATAATATACTAAACGGACAAATGAAGTATTGGCAATATGTGATATCCCTGTTAAGCGTTACTGTCTATCTTGTTAACGTAGGCTAAATGAAGTTCATTCAATTATATTTGCCAATATATGGTACACGAAGAAAGCATACACCCTTAGGATGATGAAAGCTATAAAATTGTTAAACAATGTGACTCAATGTCAAGTGTATAAGCAGAGATTGCATTCATTTTCACTTTTCTAAATATTTTTTTAACATGTTATTTGCATTTTTATCAATCACTGTCTCACTTCTTTTAATCACACTACATTTTTTACTACATGATTCAAAAGTGTAGCGATCTGAATCGATACAATACGTGTTAATGTATACCGACCCATTGGTCTGGTTGGCTAAGTACCCTCCAAGAGACCAGGTTTCTGGTTTGAATTTCTCAGGGAGTAGGGACTTCACATTGCTGAGGAGTCTCATACTAGGACAATACAACTGTTCAGTGACACTATAACTGAGATCAATCCATGAAATAATTGTTTGATCAAGTTACTTTTCTATATATCATCAGTACATACTAACAGTGATCAAATACAAATGATTTTATCGAAAGATATAACAATTCAATGGCTAATGTAAACTGCCAAAAAAGATGAAGGAAGTGTAGAAGTTTAACTTTGGTATGTTAGCGCTACCTATTCTTACGACATTTGAAGGACAGAAAATTCATAAATTGGGATTTCATACATTAGAATAGTGAATCTGAGTGATATATTATAAAGATTGAGATGCTGGAGTCGTAGCTCACAGCGTAGTAGTCACACAACAAGCTTGGAGACTTTCGAGTAACAAATGTCATGAGTGCCATATGTTCTCACGTTGGATTTAGATATTAAATGGAACAGTGGTATCCAAAAAATTCTGGAAGCACTGAAAAATTCCACAGATGCACTGAGCTCTAATGTTAACAGGCCCGATTCAACATATCAGTGAGAAAAATGACATCATACATAAAACAGACTGACCTACAAAAGCTGTGTAACTGATAATAGTTACTTGAGTTCAATCAGCATTACGTAATCAGGCTAGGTCAAATTGAATGAGTCATAAACAGCTCACATTTAACACTAAACTTAGTGTTACCTACTCATTAAAAATCTTGTTCATATATATAAACTGCAAACATATATGATGTATTTCAACTGTTTTGGAATTTCTGTAAACTGTACCTTCAAAAAACAATTCATCATTTAGTAATGCTAATAAATAAACATTAACGTCGAACTATAATCCTGTTTATAATAAGAGTAGGATGGAAGTACCTCAAAATGACTTGATGAAGACAAGATGAAATCATATAAGTTGTCTGATAAACTAGAAAAATTTTTTTTGAAACACATGACAGTGAACTCAGTGATGGCTGATGATTTTAGGTAGTACAATTCGAAAGTTGACTTTGTTGAAGCCAAAATGTTTAGTAACTGTCATCACTGAATAGCTTAATACAAACAATGGTAACTTGACGTGTTACTCCACTTAGTTATCTAATGCATTGTATGTGTGATGTATCAAACTCATGTATCTGGGTAGCTGTGTAAGTGCAGGTGGTGATATCAATTCAAGTATAATGAGAGCCAGAGTAGCTTGTGCCAATCTGTGCCATCTTTGGAGCCTACGTGACGTCAGTCTGGCTGTAAAAAGCTGAATCTACAACACGTCGGTGAGAGAAGTTTTACTCTATTCTTGTGAAACCTGGTCTCTCTGAGTTGAGGATGCTAGACAACTCTCTGTATTTGATAATCGTTGTCTTTGAAGGATTGCTGACACCCAGTGGCAACACTATTTAAGTAATGTAGAGGTTCTGTATCGTGTGTTCTTGCACAGCGATGATAATCCAATTGATGAAACTTGTTTGAAAAACGGACTTCGCCGGCCTGGATATGCATTGTGAAGTCCATATCGTACATTATTTGCTGACACTGGGACTGGTTAGATAGGCAGAGAGGTAAATGGTTTATGATATGGAGCAGTAGTATGGACAAAAGTGGTGCAGGACTGGTGCCTTACAACACCTTGGTTAGGGTCCTGGAGATAGTGCGACGTCATCAGACATGGCTCAGAATAAAAGCCAGTCGCGGTCCTGCTGTAAATTGCAGTATAAGTGAGAGGGACTTCTAAAACTGAAAGATCCCATTCTGATCGTATTCTTAACTGAACTGCTTTTTCCATTATTTTTTACTCATAGACTAATTTTCATTCATTTTTCTTCTTTTTTATTATATTCACCCTCCATTCTCTATCTCTTCACAATCTCATTTTTGTGTGGCGCATATATATTTCGGTGTCCGTTTGTATCAACTTTTATGTTTAAATAAATAAATAATGGGCACCAAACACCGATCAATAATGTCACTATAATGGAGTCCCATTCTACTGCACAGATTTCATCTCAAACTGTAAAAGATTGTTCTATGCACACTAACTCTGTTGACAAATTTAGATAAAAGGAGAATGAAATGTTTTGCATAGTAAAATCGGTTCGTCATATTTAGAAGCTTCTTTTCAGATGTAAATGGGATTGAATGTGGAAGCGAATACGTAGAGTGAACTGAAAAGAGGGTATCTACAAGGTTTTTTGGACATATCCCTCGAAGTTCGTTTTTGAAAGGGAATAAATTGTTCGTAAGTGCGAAAACACTTAATAGATAATGGATATAATGTGAATATCATAAGAGTACAGAAAAAAGGTAACGGACGCCAATTTTATACCGCTTTTCAAAGCTCGTTGTTATCAAACTCTTTCGACATAACCTTTGTACGCAGAAAAAAGTGGTAAACCTTTAATTACTATAGCAAATAATCACATTGACATGTTTGTTTATTATCAGTATTGGGTTGTGAAGATAGCTTAGTTTCATAAAAATCATGAACCCATCAATGTTTACTACATAATCTCACTATTTTATCTTGAATTTTCAAACATTCCATTCATGACATCACACCCTTCTTCACATTAGATTAATTATCACAATGTACGTACTATCAGTATTGGAAATCGTAAAACTTTCAGTTTGCGCAACAAAAACCGATCTTAGTTATACCCCCAATATTGATAATAATTGTTTTCACCAATGACAAAATTCAAGGTACAACTCCTGGAGTTCTAGTGTGAAGTCGTAAATAATGGAGTCCAATCATGTCAAATGTGAGGCAGTTACCTACCGTAGAAAATGGATGAGGGGTATGCAATATCATGAATCTACTGAAGGTAGGGACGTACAATATTAAATGCCAACTCAGTGATTTGAAGATTTAGCGTTAGCGGGCGAGACGTAAGGTCTTGTGTCTAATGGATAGTGGAGTCATAGATGCGCACTGCTGAGTGCCATACTACGACGAAACAGCTGTCCGGTCACTTACGCCTATTACACCTCATGGAGAATAGGTCGCCGATTAGGGTCCTCCAACCAACTCTATCCTAGGCTCTTTCTTCTAGTTGTTTGTGATTTAAACTACAAAAATGTCAATACTAATCAATCGTAAATACTATGTCTTATGGCGTCTTTCTGTTTCTTATATTATTTACTGTGTTGTTTCGAAAACACAACTTCACTTACTAAGCTATGGAAAACTTTGATTATGATAATACCGTTTATTTTAAATTTAGGTCTTTTGAAGCTGAATGGAAACCTTGGAATACAATGAACTTATTCTATTGCACAAATCTTATCACTCTCGCCTCATGAAAACTTTGTAAACACTAGCTTTAACACTGATCTAAATTGGATCCTGTTTTAGCCAGATTAATTCACCACGGTAAATTGATTTAATGAATAAGTGGCCTTTCTATTTCGATCAGAGTTGGTCTGATTGCATGAGCAAAAGTGCTTGATACATGGATACTTATGTCAATGATCAGTTTCGTTTATTGATTTTAAAGTTTTTTAGAGATGACTTTGGATACAAATGCAACCAGACTAACATTAAATCTTGACTTTATGTTGAACATATAATTAAGCTCAAGGTAAAATTTGGCTATACATATGAAAGAGATTTTCATCCATTGGAGATAAGCATAAAAGGTAGGATTTGATAATGATAGATTCTGTAATCTCATTTACAAATTAAAAACTAGATAGAGAGAATAGAGATTAGATCATCATTAAAGGATTATCATCTATAAATGACAGCATATGTAAAAGAAACATCCTAACCATCAATTAACAGACAATCATTTCAAAAACTGTGATAATATATCCATATATATATGGTCAAATTGAGCTATTTACACTATTTTGATAAGATTATAAATAAATTATGTTTACGCTTAGTATATGGACTAAAGCTTGTCACCCTCCTTATATTTCCAATCTAGTTTTCCAGTAAAAAACTAATTAAATGGAAACACCATGAATTCTTAAAAATATCGAATGAAGCATGATTAAAGTCATCCACCAAAGCTCAATATGTAGGTAGGTTATGTAATTTGAATTGACAACTCAATTTGAAATGGTTTGAGTTATCCCGTTGTTGATACTTTTGACTGAAATGTGACCAATCTTCGTTGGAATATATTGGCATCCTGTGAGGATTACCTCGACACAGGTTGATATAGGCTAGATGGGATATGGCTAGCAGTGGAATCTAGGATGAGCGTTTTGCCCTATTCAGCTGGGTGTGTTTGCATCCCAGAATTGTCAATAAGGGGGTTGTGGATATTGCTGACTTTCACTGAAACAATGAACCGATATAAGTTAAGTAACCGATGAAAACTTGCAAACACTGGATGGTCATTTTGTACGGGACTCCTTAGTGGGGCAGTGTGAATTCATGATCCCGAAGGCTGAAATCTGGGATTGTGCAGCAACGGCTTATCTATGAACCATTTAGATGGCATGCAACAGTGTCAATGTCTAACTTAAATCAATAACTTGGTAATTTCTGCAAACTTATTTATTATCATATTCATATCGACATCTGAGTAATTTCCATTCTTATCTGCAATATAATTACTTAGAAGTAAAAGTATAAAGTTGTAGTGCAAATCATGGTTTTCATTCAGGAGTGAGTCCGAGATTAATTACTACTGTCAAGAACATCCTATTTGTCTCAAACTCAGTCACTGGATAAACGACCAATAGTAAGTTGATTAGGAGATAAAAAGGACAGTAGAACAAGAATAAATTCTTGAAGATGTTTTCATTTAACTGATCGAGAAAAGAATATAACGAAAGTAAAAACGAATGAGAACTGTCTAGTTGACTACCAACAATCAGGTTATCGTGTTAAGTTCTAATTCGACTAGTTTTTAAAATCAGAACAGAGCTTGAACAAGAACTTACTTATACACCAAAACAAACCAAGTTGAATGAGTGAATCACAGTAAGAAAAACGTTAATATACTTAGAATCTTACACAAGAAGATTCTAGAGTCTCCTCCAATCATCCACTAGTGCTGGTTGGCTAAGAATGACTGTCAATTTTTCGTATAACCGAAAAATGTTACGCAGAAAAATGTAGATGTCAAACTATCATAAACATACATGAAATCTCACCTCCCCCAAAAAAACAAAATAATTTAACTCGAAAAACTTACCAGGTATCATATCAGGAGTAAATGTACGAACAGCGGTTAATCGTTTCGCTAGTTCAGTGTCTGTTTCCCATCGGGAATCATAGATTAAACGATTTATACCAGAAGATTGTGCAAATTGAGCTTGACGTGCAAATGACTGATGTGATACTAATCCATTTGGTATTTCAAATTCAGCTTCTTTACCAATAACGGATAAACGAATCCAACAGCTTAAAATAAGATCTTTCGGCGGCTGAGCTTCAGATCCGCCTATTTTTTGTGCAAGAAATTGTTTTAGTGTCGTCGTACTAGGTATCTGAACAGGTTCATCTTCAGTGTCCAAGTTCATTATCTCCTTCTCTATTGCTTCTTCTTCTTCCTCTATCCCAGATTCTTCTTTTGGTCGTTTGTTGTTATTTTCTTCATGTTTAACAATAAAAGGAATTGGTTTACCTACTGGCCATACTGTTAGGGTTGTCTGACATAAATAAACAACGAAATAGCATTTAATCACGACAAGATTAAGAGGCATTTCATCAACATACAAACAAGAGAATGTTCAAGAAGCTCAAGTGAATCGATCAGTGAGATTCAAAGTGACACATTGTTACTGTTAATTTGGTCAACTACCATACATATCATTGCTAGTCAATATTTCCAATCACGCTTAGAGAAGACTTAAGTGTATGGTTATTGATTTCAACGGTTTGGAGAAACAAGCTTTTTGTATTGCCTTCATTTAATAAACATAAGTCCTTGCATAAATGGACAACAAAATATGAATGTACCACACATGAAAAAAGTTGACATTGAAAATAAATAAAGGACGGAACGGGAGCGAAATAAAAAAAATAAGTGAAAATAACAGATGATAGGCAATACAGTTTAGTCAAAAACAGTTAAAAGTTTCTCTCTAGTATCCTAACCAAGGGGTCGTGGTGGACTGACAGATATCAGTCTCACACAGCTTTATTTCATACCACGACAAGTTAATAGATTATTGTGTGATAGTTCGAAACGCGATAGATTTCTTGGATTAGAGTTGAATATATTGGATGGTTAAAATCCGGTGAAAGTGTTGCAAAAATATTGGACTTAAAATATGGAATATTAATCTTTCTTAATGCCTATATTATTTTACTTCATTCAATCTTTTTAATAGAAAATTTGTTTAATTATGACTGAATAGTAGAATAACCTAAATGTGACATAAGATATTGTTCTGAATTTTGTTATTTGTACAAACATATAAACACCAGTACAAAGGGGCACCAAAATATACATGCACCAAACAAACCACTAAACTTATGTGTGGGCTGGGACACTGTCCAGGTGCCTAAACCGAAGCTGTTGGTTTTCCTATGGGGCCACTCCCTGAGCTTTTGATCAAGAGATCCAATCTACGAAATAGTGGAGGAACGTAAGGGGATGAAGTCCCATGGTAACCGGAGACCAATAATAGGTTTTATCGTATCCCTAGAACCCATGTGTACCATTAGTTTGGAATTAGAGTGGATCCTTGATACCAATCAACCCGGTTTAAGCGCCGGGTATGCGCTTTTATCCTCCTAATGTCGTAAACAACGCCCTGCTTGAAGGCAGTGAGTAGGACTTCCCCGGCAGTGGTTGTATATGCATGACCAAATGAGAGCATCTCAAGGGGAAGAGCGAACTTCCCTCATTCTCGAATGTACCAGGGGATTTTGGGGGGGGGTTATATTCTAAATTATCAGAGACAACAGAAACAATTGATAACATAGTTCATAAGAAACTGATATAACCATTCGCAAAAGCCTGACCATTATTAATATGATGAAGTTTAACAAAAATTCACTTCACAGTACTGGTCAAATATGACTATGCCTTGGATTGTATGAATGTTCGTGAAATAACAAAGTGCCAATTTAAATTTTATCGAGTGTATATTCATTGAAAAATTGTTCCAACAGTTTAAAGAACAACAAATACGTTAATTACCATATGGTTTGTTGATACCTTAAATCATCTGATGTTTCTAGTCCCATGAAACAATACATTACAGCCAGTTTGACCCACCGCTTTTCTAATCAAATCTAGATATTCCGTTTCGTGGAATTTTGTTTGGATAAATAAATATGGATGCTAAATTACATAAAGATTTTCTATGTGAAACCAGTTAATCATCATACTTACCTAGTATGATAAAAATCAAATCAACCTTAAACGAACAAACAAATTGGAACACTGATTCATCTTTCCAATGAATTCAGAACAAACACTATATTTTTAGACTGCACGTAAAAAGACCACCCTTAACATTTACTCATACTTTAAAATTTGTTCTTATCTCAACTACCGTTAAGGGAAATTATGAAGACGATTGCTTAGACGGTAGTAGAAAAAGATATAAAGAGCTATATCGTATAGTTTGTTTGAAATTGTTAACAAGAGTAATTTTTGATATAACGGACAGAAAGTGGAATTTTAAAGGTATTATTGTGACTTTCACTTGTTTCTTGATAAATTATTCATTACCTGATAAGTTGTACTACCTTGTTTGAATATGTTGCACACAAATGGCTGATTTAATCCGCTAATATATGTTCAGTTATGCACTAGATATTTCAACTTTAATTAAAACATATGTGGATGTTAAGTAATCGTTTAGGGTCAAAAATTAAAGTCTGATGTCATAAAAATTCAATGATGATATTAGTTACATAAGCCGCATTGGGCAAGAAAAACTAAAAGTACTTATGTATTACCAAGTACTTATGATTAACCACAAATTTCCAAACCCTAACTATTAAACTTATGATAAATATCTTCTTATTATATTTCAATGGATAGAAAAACTGTATTTCTGACATTTCATGAATTAATGTGAGCTACCTCTTTGGAGATATAACAAAAAATTTACATTTGTTACTAACTTTCTATCCGATGCTCAATTTATTTGAGACTATCAAATTCAACCTTGGCATTGTGATACCGATATATTCAACTTATGCAATTAAAATCGGTGAAACTAAGGCTAATAAAAACTTACATCATGTCCACCATTAGAAGTTATAAATTGTCCTAAACCAGTAGATTCCAAATGTGCTTTGGTCCAGTGATTCTGAATGATCCAATCAATAGATGGTTCTATATTAAACTTTGATTTCCATTCTTGAACAATATTTTCATTTAGTGCACAAGAAACATTGTACGGAGTTTCATCACAGTTTTTTATGCAATTTTCATCGGAAGGTGATATTGTGAGTTGAGGCTTAGCTAAAATAGTTTAAACAATATTGTATGAAGTACGAAAAATCTAATTTCTAACAGGCATATCACATTATATTAGGTTACACTCAAGCAGATGACGAAAAATTCTGTGTTAAGAAGAAACCGTTAATTTACTTCTATCTTCAAAATGAACATTTAAACCTTTTCTCTAAACAAACTCTAACTTTAAGATGAACATTTTAAACCTTTCAATTTTCCCAATCGTTATTTCGTGACACCGAAGCCAAGGTAAATTTTTGAGTAAGATTTTGCAATTAAGTAGCTGATATGGCACAATTTATCCCTATGAAATAAGGTAAACTTAATCGCTTAGAAAAATATGTTTGTGCTAAGTGATCCATCTTGCTTATCAATTTTTATGTAAGATTGTTGTCTGTCTATAAGGCTTTATTTAAGTAGCAATCAATCTAGTTAAGGGGTTGGAATGAGAATGACAGATACAGAATGAGATCTCAAATAACATGAATTGCCAATCTACAGTTATACTACTGTAATGCAGACAAGGTCATGGGATCAGTCACCCAGTTGTGAAGAATACATGATCTGAAGCAAATATATATTGGTTGAAACTATCACACTTGAAAGCGCAGAGAACAACATTAGTGGTGCGGAAGGCAAAGAAATCAAAACAATTTGATGAATTGTAGTTGAAAACTGACTAAAATCAACATATCTAGAAAAAATGAAGAGAAGTGGAGAGTACTACAGTTTAAGCTTTTAGTGAAGATACAAAGAAAGACAGATACAACCACGCTGCTGCCATCGAATTAGAATAATCTTAAGGTCATCAACCACAGATTACGACTATCACATAAAGTGTAACCAGGAAGGGTAGACTTCTCGAGACGGCTCAGATTAAAATGAAATAGTTTCATTGACTGATAATTGCTTCTAACCTAATAAAGTACTTCACTATCCTGTATAGCATAGAGTAAGTAGCGCTTAGATAGTATATGGTATGCTTTATTCACTTTAGTTGATAAAGGTTCATAGGTAAACTATATTGAGTCAGACATACTGAACTTGAGAAAACAGCCTATAGTCAGTGTTAAATGATTGGGATCTTTATATAAAACGCCAAATAACTAATATATAATGATCAATACTTAGTAAGTATATATACATATATACGTAAGTACAAGAAACTTTTCACAATTGTGTCCCAGTTGTTCGTTCAGGATAGAACAATGCGAGAATGAGGTGTTATCCATTGTGAAACTACATACGCAGTTTTTATATCACAACTTTATGATTTTAGGTAAATATATGGATTTGAAAACACCAAACTTGTCCGAAAATGGCTAATTATGTGTGGAAGAGGTGTGAACTACAAGATGTTACTGATAATAGGTTAAAAATTTTGGATTTCTGTGTGAATCATCCATGGTTCATATCTTTTACACTATTTGATAGTTACGAGTCAGTCAACCTGACGGTTATTATCGGCTAATAAATGAGATTAAAATCGTATGGTATTCGCCACTTTTGAGGATTAAAATACTTTGTTTATAGTACCGTAATTAATAGAAATGCACTTCCGATTATTACGATCAGTTATAAATAAAAATATAGTAGTCTATTTACAAGAATAGTATTCCAAGCTGATAATAGGGATAAGAGTAGTGGTGTTCTCACTTCCCTTAAGAATTCTGATTGTAGCTATATACGTACACGTATATATCTTGCCATGTATTTAAAACACATATTTCGCCAAAAATTGACGAGGTCTCAACAAAAATATGTAAAAATCTAACTTACGAACAACTTTAAGTGACGTCGATATGCGTGACTGACCGTATATAGAATTTAAACGAATAGATAGTTCACAATCCTGATTAAGTTTAAGTTTTGTAATGTTAACTGTAATTCTTTTATTCATTTCTTCTCCATCTACATGAAAAATAATATCCAACTGGGAAAGTTGTTGCTTTGAGTACTTGAGATTCTTATCAATAGACATGCGAAGTTCTTGATACGTAGATGCTTCAAACGAAGCCACACCGACAAATACAACTGTATTCCACCTGCCATCAAACTCACAAACAGAGCCGAAGTTATTCCCTTCCATTACGTAAAACAGTTCTTTCAAACATCTTGGATCCTTAAAGAAAGGAGGTGAAACGACTTTAACATCGTAGGTGAATATTAACCTATCGGAAATATCCTCATTCGATTTCACAACGAGTGAGTAAACTCCTGATACAGACTCATCAATAAGACTAGGAAGTGTATAACTGTATTTTGTCGCAATCCTGCTGTGTAACATCTGCTCATCCTTGAACCAATGAAATTCATAGTCCCCTTGAGGTTGTCGATATAAAGCTTTAAGCATAAAGTCTTGAAGTTTGGTACCTTTATTGATGACATAACTTGATGTTAGTGACGTTAAAGGATATAGTTTAGTAGTACTGGAATTCCTATTCTTCTCGATTGAAAGACCTTCAAGGACCACAGGGGATTCAGTACCGGCAACTTTTCCAGCAAAAGTCCTAATAGGTCCAAGTTGTCCAACATGCTTACACACGATAGCTATCGACTTCGACTCAACCAGGGGTGCATCAGTGAGATACACGCTCCCATTTATAAATTCGACAATAGAATTGGGAGAAAACTGCATGGGCCTTTTAGAACACGTAATGGCATTTGGTTTCCCTGTAGTCAGACAATATTCCCATCTGTATGGTCCGTATCTGCCATCTAGTTGGTGCATCCAGTATGGCCAGCGTGATACAGTGCTGATATCATCTACACACCTTAACTCATGCGGAAATTCTGATATTGGTGGAACGACATCTATCTTTGTAGACGGAGTACCCTTTAGTTGAAGAATGTAAAATACAGCATCTCGTATTTCTATTTCATTTGATTCAATAACATTGAGTTCGTCTGTACCGACAATACATGAAAACAGTCCGCTGATTGGATTGCTCAGGGGACCATCTTGTGTTAAAGAAATTGAGAAAATTGCCCCCGTCGTTTCGTCAACACTGAAGCGAAACTCAGTATTTAAACAGGAAAATGTACCTTCAGCCTCTGGCTGAACACAAGTACGTTTGGTATCTTTCACACTACTGCGGCAGCATAAAGACACTTTATCCAAAGGTTTCGCTTGTTTATTGACATGACAAGCAAAATTCAACTTTAAACCCAATGGTGGGCTTTTTTGTGCAAAATAAACTATCCTTTGAGTATTTGCTGAAGCATCAAGAAGAGCTGTTGGATTAGCGTCATTCAGAAAAATTAAAGATTCCTCAGATGCTCCATTTATTTTCTCGAACTTCAGGTAACTGACTGAAAAACCTTGGAAAAAGTCAAATTAATTATGAAAATGATATTTACTTTGGGATAAGAATACGAGGAACACAAGAAAACAAGCAACCATGCCTTGACCAAGGAGAAGCGACATCAAAGGAATAAGTCCGTGTGAACGCCAAAAGTCAAGGCTGCAATAGAGTGTGAAGAAACGAACTGCATTGAATTTCGTACATATTTTAGATGAATGTTTTCATGAGGTACATACTACTGTATGAATGATTTTTAACCATTCAAGATAACTTTAGAAAAGAAGTTTGAAAAATCTACGGCTCTCACTGTGATTGTGCGCTCACAACCGACATGTGGATCAAATACTATTCCTGGTAGCAAATGAGTCTGTTCCAATTTCTTTCGGTGGTTATAATGTCAGTAAATTTTTTGCACATTACGCAGAGTCTACTTCCGAGTCAGATTTGGACAAACATTCGGTGAACCTAGGGATAAAACGCACAATATATTATAAAAATCCAGATCTAGATTTAATCTGAGAAGATTAGAGTGTTTTTGCAAAGAAATAGTTAATTTATGTAATGTACTACGTTAAAATTTGACTAAAAACACTATGCATTTAGAAGAGCACTCGAAATTCCCTGTGATTCAAACAGTGGTTCATAATCGACTATATAGCATGGATTAAACTGTCCTGGAGACTGGTAGTTGATGTACTGAATTAGGCCATTTTAATTATTTGAAATGCCCGTTACCCCAATTACCTTAATATCCTGCTCGTAAACTGTTGGATTAATTAACACTTAGGGTAAATTCGGGAGTGTTGAACTGAATAAGGTTATCCCAAACGCTCTTCAGAGAAACAAAGGTTTCGCCCCCCTCTTGGGAGCTAGATTGTATACTGAATTTCAATCCAATATGAGGTAATTTAAGGAACTATGGGCGAACTTGGTGGGTTAAGTTGATATTTTTCATGACAAATGTGGTATGCACGTTTCGCGAAGAACATTTCTCGAAAACTGCATTACGGGAGACAATGTGAAGTGATACTAAGTTCATATGCAAGTCTACAATTTCAAACATTTTGACTAGCCAATTTCATTGAGTCGTTGATCCCGAAGTAGCTTGGACGATGTTTCAGCCACCAACATTAGTTATCAAACCAAGGGACACGGCAGCACCAATGAGAAAGAGAAAAATTGTGAGGAAGCTACTGAAATGTAATTAAGAATATACGTTTGGATTTTGGAGTTTACATAACGAACCAGCACCGGCAACAATTCAGGAATTGCAAAACAACATTTCAATGTCAGTTTTTAGTACAGTAGGTTGTTTATTTATTTTGGTGTTATCTAACAGAACTTAATCTGGAGCTTTTACAGGGTTACTGTTGAGTCAAGTCCTTATAAACGAGGAAGGTTGCGCATGGGACAAGCAATTCCATCCGATAAAACAGCCTTGTTAAAAGGACCGTAACCAGAAAAATAATTTATTCCATGTGAATGCTGTCCTGAGAGTTCAAGGATTTTCGTTTAGAAAATCTATGACGCTCCATAGTGAAAGCCCAGATTCTGAAGTCACGAGGCCAATGCCCCTCCTAACAATCAACGCAACAATTAATAAGGCACATGAAATATCCGGACAATACAGGAGGCCGAAAGGGCCCACCGAGCAGTTACGGAAGTGAGGAGATATATTTTGGCAGCTTTCAGGAAAAGTGGAATCCATTGAACACAAGCTAGATAGAGATAGGCTCTTGGAGATGTGCTGATGTATTGTGGTCATGACGAAAACGCTTTACACACACACACGCAGAGAGAGAGAGAGAGCTGCGTGATGCTGTTCAGTGAAGTATGAAAATATTTAGTAGGATGGTAATCTCATGGATCCAAAGTCATCAAAGCTTACTTCAAAACAAAGAGGGAAGGGATTATAATGAATGTTATCCAATGATATTCACTTATCAGTGGTAACAATGAAGACAATAAGGGCCGATTTTACGAATGACTACAATCGGTCATAGAGAACTGATCAGGGAAGATCCGACGATCCTTTTGGTACACCTAAATTTCGAAGTCGGAATAAACAACACCAAGTATGAAGATACCATGTGCATTCAACAAAATGGTTATAGGTATCACAAAGTTCCCTCACAAACGCATATACAAAGCTACATGAGCCAAACCGAGCCATTCTATAGTGAGCTAGACAAATCATATCTCCATCTATGTTGTAGTTTTGTATTCAAGTGCTTTGCTGATCTTCAGCTTCTCTTTTATCAGTGCCACATTTACAGTTGACAGCCATAGAGCTTTTTCATACGCCAGGAATACAAACCACAGGTATGCATTTGTCAAGGTTCTGGCTGATATTAAGAGCCTTTTCACAGTTACTTTGAAAAAGGTTCGGACTAGGCATATGTTTTATCAAGTCACAGACTAGATGTGATGGAACTTTCGAACTGATCACAACAACTGTGAACTAAGTACAGTAATAAATAATAAACCTATTTCTTAACTCAGGGATATATCCGCACAAATATTCTACCATTTAATTTCATAGGTTTAATCTATTCGGTGACCCGACTTCGGAAGTGTTGCGTGAGAAATGTCATTTTTCCTTTTATTACATTTTCGTGCCTAAGATGTCCAAACCGTGTCTATTTCCTTCCAGATTATCAATAGGTTCTGGAAGCATAACACTTATGTGGAACCTAACATATATCATTTATAATTGTAAATTTCCTTTTATGTCAAGTTATTCTGTATAGGCGGTAGGGCAATTCTCCAAATTTGACAGACTTTATTTTTTTCTTCGAAGTAAATTCGTTATTTTTTACTTGAGGACAACTAAAAAGGTGAGTGAACACTTGATAGCCGGACAGAGTATAGGTAAATCGTACCCCATCAACATGGTGTTGAGTAACCCATTTGTGACACTTTCCCAAATATGTTTGTTTTACTTTCTTACCCTCTGTTTTCTTACATGCTGTGGTACACAGTAAACGTTCACCAAGTCAGGAAGCAATGATTTGCGGAAGAAGGTAAGTGTTACGAATCAAGATAACAAGCTAGTAAAGTATATGACACCCAAAGAGTATATCGAATGCTGACTGGGCTTTGGTTATCATCGGCTCAAATTCAAACACTGAACGAGCTAGTAATTCTCCTTTAGGCTGCGGATACAGAACTGATATGTTTTTGCTTGGTGAGTTGATGGAATCGATATTACTATGGAAGTCGGTACTGGAAGGAAGCTGATGTAACAACTATTATTATATCTTTAATTTTGTAAAGCCTCATCTGTTTTTTAAAGATAACCCTGTGTGATCTAAATGAGGACCTAACCACTACTGGTCTGGATCCTTATATAGATAGGATGAGGGGTATTTACTGGCACAAAATACAACGGAGAAACTAGCAGGGAAATACAGCATATCAGAGCGATCATTAAAGAGCAAAGAAAGCAAGATAGTCGCTGAGATTCAAGAGCTGAGTAAGAGGTGAGTAAAGTACCCTAACCAACTCTTGAACAGACAATACCAACTGAACCAATTGGACACCGAAGCAGAACACACAGACGTTCCCATAGCTGTTACCTGATTAACAATAGGAGAAATCACCTGGGATATCAGATAAATCAAGAGTGTGGAAGCAGAAGGACTAGATAATATATCGGCTGAACTACTGAATTCAGACATACAGGGAACATATTATCCTTTTGTGGCCCGTTGATCTGACTCCATTTAGGTTGTACGGAAGATTGGCATCGCCTATTCTCGTATATCATAGTCGACTTAAATCGCGTTATCCAATAACGGAATTAAATAAGTCCAATAACGAGCATTGACTTGAGAATTCATATATTTCGTACATGAAGCGAATGAAGCATAGCAAAGCAAAAATGACACGTATGGAAGATGGCTGGGAAGCCAACTCCCTCTTTGTGAAGCGTCACTCAATATTTATAGTCAGACAAAATAAAGCTACAGACATGTGATTAATGGGATAAGAAGGGCACACACATATACGCTCATATAAAAACAGTCTAGATTGATAAACGAATAAATAACAAGGTCAATGTATGGCTCAAGTAAAATGAATAGAATGGGATGACCGAAAGCTTGAATAAGGTATATGAGCTTGGCATAATAACTGACACTACAATCCAAAATGTTAGTAAAGTACGTGATTGTGCAGTCTGTTTTATACATCGATTTCCCACTTCAAACTGGAAACTATCGAGCTTTTAGTAGTCCATCTGTAGCAGTGGTATTTTGATTCAAAAAATATTTAATACCTTTACCTTTGACGATCGATTATAACCATGTAAGACTAATTTTGAATTTACTTGGAGGTTCTGAGTAGCTTTTGTAATACTGTCGTCATTTTCCTGACTACGATAAGATTTGAACTGAAGCGTGCTCGTGTTAGTCTAAAGTCCAATAAGTAATACGGAGAGCGGTTTTATATGAACGGTAGTGGCTATTCGTGAACTGTAGTCGCTCAAATCAGTACGGAGTGAGCGAAATGACTGGATCACAGAATAAGGACAGACAATAGGGATAGAAGTAATATTTGAAAGTTTACTAGTCCTTAGCATGAAGCGCTTTTAGAATTTGTTGGCAGCTAGCATAACCCAGGTGGTCGGACTGTGGAAGACTACTTTTTGAGGTATCTGAAAAAGAAGTTGAACCAATGATGGCCTTGGTTCTGTTGGCACTTAACCATAAAGTTTAAAGGACGATTCTCCGAGATCAAGAAAAACGGTCCTTTTGTCAGGGGTTCTTGAGGTTACTTACGAAGTTACATTTCTCATCAGCCTGAAATGGATTTCACTGAGTAATCAGACTTTATAAAGCGAGTGAGGTTAAAGCATCTTAGCAAACTTCTTTCTTTCTCCTGCGTTATTTTTTTACTTTAAACGAAAATGCGCTTAATGACAAGTTAGAGAAGTTCACACACCTGTACCGATTTCACTTGCTCTCTATAATGACAGTTTATCAACTATACTTTCTTCCGCTTTTTTGTGTAGGTGATCCAGAGATTTGGGAAGGAGAAACCAAAACTCATGTACATCAAGAATCTTCAGAGTAATCTGAACGGGTTATCTGACTAAACAACTGTCAGCATGCTTCCTCATAACACTAACAAATGGAGAACACTAATATTAGATATTA